CCCCGTCAGAAAGATCTAGCGGCAGAGCAGCGGGGTAGGACACGTGGGCAACCACATTTTCTCATTCACATTCTTAGGTCCCTGCTCAGAACAAACAACAACAATAAATAGAGGCTGAGGTGGAAGGCCGTTTCCCTCTGCAGCTCTGGGGAAGGAGCCCCTCCTTGGCTTGAGTCCCTTGAGTTCATCAGTGACCATCAGCCACTGCTGCTGCTGGGAAGAGGGCAGTGGGGAGGAACATGGTTGGTCAGTTGATTGGTCGGCCAGTCTGTCCATCATCCCCATATTCCTCCTTGGCAATGGAGGCAGCAGTGGCGATGGTGGCGGCGGCGGCGGCAGCAGCTCTTCGTACCCTCATGTGAGCACATGATGGGGAAGGAGAGGCGGTGGCGGCAGCAGCAGCAGAAGGTCTTCCTGTCCAAGGCAGGGAGGTTAGACATGGTTGGGACAGCAGCTTGCAAGAAAAAGAAAGAAGAGTAAATAAAAAGCATCTCTTTCCTTCAGGACGTCTTAACAGCTCTGAAAGGATGTTTCTTGAGTTTTTATCCCCACTTTCCTCCACGGCACACCTGACACTCTGTACCAGGGTTTCTTCAACCTTGGCAACTTGAAGATGTGTGGACTTCAACTTCCAGAATTCCCCAGCCGGCAATTCTGGGAGTTGAAGTCCACACATTTTCAAGTTGCCAAGGTTGAGAAACATTGCTCTATACAAACCTGTTCCCATTATTCTCACAAAATACTGGGAAGTAGGTTAAGGCTAAGAAAAGAGAGGTGCCAAGCCAAAGGTCATCCTAGGACATCCTGAGTTGTGGCTGCACTGCCATAACTCAATGCCAAGCCTCATACCATGTTAGCCCCCTTTCTTTCAAGTGAGAGGCTCCCTCTGGATTAGATTTCAGCTGAGAGAACAAAAGCAAAAAACCCACCCTCTGATTCATTTTTTAGAAAAGTTTCTTCCCCCTTGATTTTTCAATTCATACTAGGGAATAACATAGCCAGCTTAGTTAAGTTATTACCTTAACCCATACAGGATGCTCAGCCTGCTTACTGAATTAATTCATCTTCTGTGTTTGCACCCAGGACCATAAACTAACCCAGTGGGTTGGGTTCACACAATGTTGTAAGCCATGGAGAAACACAAGGTCAACACTAACCAAGGTTAGCATGCTGTGCAACTGTAGCTGTGAGGTACTTAACTGACCTGGTTGAGCCTATTGTGTGAACAGAGGCAGTGAGTCACATGCTCATATCCTAGAACTATGTGTGAAAATTGCTTTCAAAAGAAGAAAGCCATAGTTGGACAATACTATTATGGGGACCAACCAAAATGGTCTGAAAGAGTTTGTAAGTTTTCAGTTCCCCAGAACTGTTCCTCAAGCAAAAGGTTACAAAAACATATAGGATGTTTTCCCCATCCTATACAAAAAATATAGGATGGGGAAAAACCCAAAGGTCCAGAAAATTAAGCTAATTTTTTCAGCCTTGAGGTCTACAGTTCAAAGTCATGCTCAGGATGGAGACTGTCAACTATATGCAACTGTTAGTGAGAGGTGTCATTGATGTTAAAGTATCCCCATCCTTCAGGGAAAAAGAATAATGGTTGCTATCCGCAACTGTGAAAACACAGAGGCCACTAGTACCTATTCTGTCTTTTGCCATAGATGAAATTCATAGGCTCCTGGCCTGGCAGAAAACAGAAATAAAGAAATATTTACAATGTTTATGTCAAGAAAGCCAACAAATATTTTGGGGTCAGGGATGGTTTGCTCTGTGATAAAAAAAGTATGCATTTTTAATCTGCAGGTTTTACTATCTAGAATTTTATGCTTGTCACTGGCAAACTACGCAGGTCCCTATTACTGCAAAGTATTTTACCACCATTGTAAATGGTGTTGAGAGAGTGCAATCTTCTCTCTCCAACAGCAACAATGACTCTTGACGCCAAGGTCCAAAGTCAACCATTCCAAACTGCTGTCCAACAGCTGGGTTGAACCATCCCATAATCCACAGCCACAAGACTGTATGAGCTACCTTTCACTTACTCATGACTGGCAAATGGTGGCAGTGAGAACCTGAAGGCTGGGGAGGAAATAACTTTACAAAATTATCAGGAAAGTTAAAGAAGGTAAAGGGAAGAATTAGATGATTCCCATTTGTTGATTCCTCACTGAAAAGGCCCCTGCTTCCCAACAGCAATGGTATTAGCAGGTGGCAGCACCTAATTCACTTTGGTAGAGCTTAAAAAGGCTGAGAATGGTCAGACCTGGTCAGTACGTGGATGGGAGAATATCAGGAAATCTTAAGGATACAGATTAGATCAGGGAGTTTAAAAAATCCAGAAGACAGCAATAACAAACATGACCATATTGTTGCCAAGAAAAACACAGATATGTTCATGTAGTCCTCAGAAATTGGGCTGGATCCAATGGAAAGCTTATTATTCCCTGACTTAAATGTGGATTGTTCCTAGGAGAAAGGAACATTGGGTTTTTCAGCTGTGAGGGTGTATATTTTATCTGAAAAACTGACTCATTGTATTGGGATATAACAGAATCCAGATTACAATGATACATATCAATTATTGGGTTCCATTTATTACATTTCCTCACCAGCAAACATCTCCTTGCAGAAACCTTTTTGGCAAAATGCCTTCTAGGTTGTTTTACATGTATTTGATGTTCAAATGCTTATGTTGTTTTTAAATAAAAAAGAAAGATCGGATTCCGACTACGATAGTCCCTCCTTTGGATGTAGTCGCATCACATGGGTATGCCCTTTTCTTTGTATGTTTCCAGGGCGCCCTATGCCCTACTAAAGCATAATCAGTGATGAGCAATGGTACCTTACCTCCACCACATTGGCATTAACAGGAGTACGTTCGCACTGACATACTGTCTGTCCGTTGGCTACCTAATGAGTTCCCTGAGGGGAAAAAAACAGGAGAAGAAAAGTTAAAAGAGAAAGCATTCATACATACATCCACCAGAGGTTTGAAAAATACTTCTTGACTGGCAAAGGTGCCCTGAACTGTTAATTCCTTGGCCCTTGGCCAAAAGAATACCTTCTATCACCTACAGGTTTTCTCCTCCTAACCCATAAATAGATAACATGCACCCCCACACCTTTGCGGTCCCCCGCCTGGCCATTACTGTTGAAAATTCTCACCCTTTCTCATTGTTCTGCATTAGAAAATACATGAACATTGAAATGTAAGGGCTAAAATTGCTTTTTAAATATTGACTCCTCCCTGTAAACATAAGGAAAAAAAGAAGCTCCACCCATTTTGCATCATCGTCCCACCAACTGGGATTGGCAGGCTCTCCAGGAAGATGAACTGCTTCTCTCAACATCTAAAAGGTTGTTCACCTTATCCTAAACCATTTTATCCTACAAGAGACCCACAATGGTTCTTGCCAAAGGTAGTGGTCTTGATAGCATCAGTGTAGTCCAGATAACAAATGGCTTTTTCACAAGTATGTGTATGTGTGTGTGTGTGTATTTGTGTATAGAGATGAGGAACTTGCAGACTTCCAGATGTTACTGAATTACAATTTCCAGCATCCTTCACCAACGGCTGTACAAGCAAAGGCTGTTGGGTGCTGTAGTACACAGAACCATCAATTTCCCATCCCAACATAAAACAATTGTTTGCTACGATAATGAGAAAGAAATTTGTGTAATGCAAGAACACTCTCTTCCTTATTAGCCTGAGGATGCAGAGAGAGGGAAAAAACATACTTTCCTGACAGCAGGAAGCTTCTAATTTTATCTTTTGTTTATTCCTTTTTTTGTATAAGCAGCTTCAGCAGATGGCAGCACTTAACTGTCATTGTCTGGACTTGAAAGCTAAGCAAGGCCAAGCCAGTTCAAAATTTGGATGGATAACTTCCAGAGAATCCCAGGGCCATAAGCTAGATTGAAAAGCTGAAAAAAAAATCCTGGGAGAAGAGAAAAACAAACCACTTCCATATGGTTATCAGGAAAACCACATAGATGTGTCCACCAGGAACCAAGCTTGACTTTAAGGAGACTTTATATTTTTATTGTAGAAGCTTCCCAAAGAATATTTTGATAAATAAATGGAAATCAAAGCACAAAAAGAAACACGTTCCTTCATTCTGTGCTCCAGTTCAGAATGCAGGCATGGGTAGCCTAAGCGTAGTGCCTCCATACCCTCTGGCTGCATCTTACGAAGCTGCACCCCGGGTGAGGTAATGGAGGCCACGGAGGCTGTGCGGAAATTGGCTGGCAACATCTCGGCTGAGTCAGGGCTGACACCACGGAGGTCTTTCTCCCGGAACATCTTCCGCCAAGATGGGGAACGACTGAAGGTCTTGGCACTGTCCTAGATGCAAGGGTGCAAGAAAGTATGGGCAATCAGCAAAGTATGACAATGCCTCTCAAGGTTAGAGACTCTAGAGGGAGAAGAACTCACCTCATCCAGTCGCCGGTCTGTTCCCATGGTGATGAGGTTCCCAAATTCTTTTTCTAAGATCTGCCGAGCCTAGTTTTTTTTTAAAAGTTATTTTAGTCTTCCTTTCCATTCATCTATTTTTCTGTAAAGCACAGTGCCCCCTTCAGCCCTCCCTTTTTTTCTTCTCTCTCACAGAGTATTAAGGAATGGAGAAAAAGGGCCTTAGGATTCAATTGCTAGGACAGTGTGACGTTTAGAATATGGATTGGCAACATGGTGCCCGTGGATCCCAGGCACTTCCAATTAAATAAAAATTAAAATAGTCAAATAATTAAGACAAGTTGCAAATATCTTGCAAGATTTTTGTAACATTGCATGAGAATTTCAATAACTTGCACAATCCCATGCAAGAATATAAAATTCTTCTTTCTGAATTCTTGATTGACACCTTATGAAATGTTCGTGTCTGGACAATTGAGAAGAGCATGCATGTTAGTTTCGGTATTTGAGTTTACCACTGAAGCTAGAGCAGTCTACTTGTCATACTAAAGGCACTAAAACCTAGTAGGTTATTGCTACATTGGGAAAGGCTCTAGATTTCCTTCTTCCCCTCATGGAAGTGCCAGGCACGGCTCATGACTGCTTGATTCTCTTCCCTCCTTTACCCAGCTTTCCTATGATTACTCCTGACCTGTGTGTTTTGGGTTGGGATCTGCAGCAGCAAGGCCAAGTCATTGCAATCAAAGGTGTCATCCAAGGCCAGGAGGGCTCCATGCACTCCGCTTTCAACTAGGTTGTTGGCAAACTCTTTCAGCCCAATCATTTGCACCCAGCACATCACGCGCTCGTTGGACCACACCATCACATCTAGAAAGGGATGGGGAGGGGAAGGGAAGGGAAGGGAAGGGAAGGGAAAAGACAAGCTTAGCACCAAATTCAATCCTATCACCACCCATCACTGCTATGGCAGTGCCGTCCCCTCTTTACTTTCCACAATTCAGATTTGTAGATGCTGCTCAATGGCAACCTTTGGTCTTATTTCTTCTTGTCCGCATCTACCTTTGTTTAGGTTCTGACTCTCCTCTCGTCTTCTTTCCAGTTCCTTTCGGTCATAGTTAAGACGTTTCAGGCACATGATCCCATAATGAAGGCTCACCCTTGGAAGATATATCAGAAGTTACACCTGAGAAATGGCAAATGGCTCACTATGGGATCATCTATTAAGTTGGTAAGTGCTGGTGCAGCAGCAGTACTAATTAACGCCGGGTAGCTGGATCATGGAGTTGGAGCTCCCACCCATTAAATTTCCTAAAAAAAAAACCCTTGATATTGAACAGGCATCAACTTATTGTGGGGGGGAGGGCAAATGATGAAACGTGTGTTGCAACATTGCGACGCAAACTCTACCCCTTCTGTACATGCACCGTGACATTGCACACATGTATATAAGAGGTGGAGCTTGCATTGCAATGCCACTATGCACATTTTGACGAAAACGCCTCATTCAGCAGACACTTCTGTGAGCACTGAGTAGAAATCAAAGTGCTTTCTCTCACTTCCAGCACTGACTGGAAGTGTACCAGGGCAGGACTTTGGGACAAAATCCAGGCCTCCGCTGAACAGAAAGTCTCCAAAATAGAGCAAGGTTGACATACCATATTCTGCAGTAAGTAACTCTACATATTTCTATCTAAAGAGAGTTCCTTGCAAGGTCATTATGTCCATAGTCGACTGTATATTTCTTAACTGCATCACTGGGAATGATGTTGCCAAAATAACAGGATGCAGCAGATGCCCAAGAGGATGATGAAGCTGGAGCCAGGCTAAGTAATTGAGGGGTGTCCTGGTAAATTTTCAGTTCAAATGTTGTCTGCCCAGACCGTTTCCTTGAGGATTTCAGTTCTGAGTGTTCCCGTTTTAAGGCTGAGAAGAGCAAACGATATTCAAGGCAACTTCACCCAGCCCTAATCTTAATATCCCCGTGAAACTGCAGTTCCAGAATCTTTTGTAAGTGGAGGAACATTAATAGATAATGTTATATTTGGTTGAAACTACAGACTTTTGCACACATATATGGGTGTATACCTCACAAAGATAGTGCTGTAAGTTATGTCAGTCACATGAATCTGTTCCTCCCCGTGGAAGGCTCAAGCCATTTGTTCTTCTCACCTATGGAAGCTGTCCACCATCTTGAGCTGGCCCCGTAGTTCCTTCTTGTTGAGGTGGTCCAACATCCGGGCATCAACTAGCGACTCCATGAAATAACTGCGGTACTGAGGCAAGCCCAAGCTGGGCAGCCAATCATTTCCCACCCACTCATGGTTCATGTCTCCATATGCCAGGATCTGCAAAAGCAGAGAAGGGAGACACTGAAGGGCTATATTTGCATAATGAACATAACCAGTCATTGAATTAACCCATTTTCTGGGTTCACAATACATGAATTATAAACTAAGGTAGTCCTCAACTTCCAACAATAGGGACTGGAAAATTCGGCATTAAGCGGTGTGGTTGTTAAGTGAAGCATCATGTGACCACATCTGATTTTATGATTTTTTAAAGTCATTAAGCGAATCACTGTGGTTGTTAAGTGACTCACAGGTTCGTTAAGTGAATCACAGGGTTCCCCACTGATTTTACTTGTTGGAAGCCAGCTGGAAAGGTTGCAAATGGCAATCTCATGACCCTGGAATGCTGCAACTGTTGTAAATACATGCTGGTTGCAAAGCACCCACATTTTGATCATGTGACCACGGGGACACTGCAACGGTCATAAGTGCAAGGACCAATCATAAGTCATTTTTTTCAGCACCGTCGTAACTTCGAACGGTCGCTAAACAAATGTCATAAGTCAAGGACTACCTGAAGGTAAATGGATGACAAACCACAAAGGACAAACCAAAGTTAACACTAACCAAGCTTAGTGTGTTATATGAATGCATCTGACCTGGTTAAGCATCTTTTGTTAACACATGTGAATGAGAAGAAATGTGCTCTCTTTCCTTCCACATACTGAAGATCTGCACTGTAGCCTTTCCATTTTCTTGCTCCTGCAATTTTTGAGCACCCGCTATAAATCCATATCCATTAATTTCCATCCATTGCTTCAGTTAAATTCACTTACTAACCTGGCTTCTCTACTTAGCTTAGCAATCATTCTGTGAACTTGGGGCAGGTCAATGTCCCTTAGCTCTACATATGTCATAGGATTGTTGTAAGGATAAAATGGGAAAGACTTTGGAGTTGGTATAGGTTTATGGCTCTCTTCCTTTACTGTGTGAACTTGCCTGTGTTTTCTGTGTCTTGCTCTAGACTCTTCCATGTTAGGGTAGCTTTTTATAGATATATCACATGACAATTCTATTTCCCAACCATGCTACTGAGAAATAAGGGAGCTGTAGTCCAATATATTTGGAGGGCACCAGATTGGGAAGGTTGTTCCAAGGTTTCTGATATGAGAAGTTATCCATCCCAGAGCCTTTCCTTGATGGCATTCCAAATACAATATACCTTCCAAAAACAGTTGATTTTTCATGTTGATTCTTTTTCTATTCCAGATGCTGGGTTAAAATTATTCCATTTCATCAACATAACAATTTAGCTGTTAGCTGTTGCCTGATTAATGCTTCTTTTAAAATATATTTTGGGAATAGGAAGATTTTTTTTATTTCTGTGGATATAAGAAACCCTAAAATATTTCTGCTGTCTGCAGTCCAGATGGTACTGATGCAAATGGACCGTAGATCTGACTCAGTGGCAGGCTTCGGATACTGTGCTCTATCAAATGTTGTTTGTTTGATTTTGTGCTATGTGAACCCAGTCATTGTGGCTTGCAAACTACCTTTTAAAGTTTAATACATTGAGCAAATTCAGGGAATTGTGGTTTATTCAACAAATCATGGTTAAATATGGCTTACTACTATGTACAATCCCAGCAGTGAGTCATTCAGCAGCAGTAGTAAAAAAAAAACTTTGTAGGCTTTGTTAAGCAAAGCAGAGAAACCTTAAACAAAAGCAGAAACAGCAGCCTAACTGAGAGAATAATTTTCCAGCCAGGATCCAGTACTGAATAGTTTTCTAGTCTGGGATCTGATGTGAAATCCCTATACCATGAAACTCGAACACTTATTCTTAGTGAGTCTAAAATCTTACTACGAGAAGCAATTGCCTCTGGATAGGTCACTGAGAACTGAGAGCTCCCCCTGACTTTCAAATGCTTTCTTTCTGCACTTGGAGCTCAGCCATCAAGCACAAGCAGCATGAGCACAAGCTGTGAAGGCTGTTGTAACAGAATCACAGAGGTAGGAGACCAGCGATTCCAACCCTCTGCTCAGAGCAGGAATCCAAGCTAAAGCATCACAAACAGATGTCTGCCTAGCCTGTGCATGTATCTATCCAGTGAAGGGAACTCAGCCGCTTCCCTAAATAATTGGCTCCATTGTTGAACTGCTTTTCCTGCTAGGACCTTTTCCCTAACATTCAGTGAGAATCTCCTTCTTCTGATTAAAGTCATTATTCTGTGTCGTCACACAATAGAGAGTAGGTCTTAGCCGCCTTCTATGTGACAATCTTTTAGCTACTTGTAAGATTCCTGTTAATCTCTCTTTGCAAGATTTAATTTCCAGGTTTTTGACTGATCATCTTCATTGCCCTTCTCTGAATCAGTTCCAGTTTCTCTGAAACCTTCTTAAATTGTAGGTGTTCAGAACTTGAGGTATAGCCAGTGCAGAATATTTTTTTTCCAACCACCACAGGAGAAGTTTTCAAGACATCTTTTTCCTTTTTGCTTATTTCCAAAAACAGAGAACATCTTCTGGTTAATGTGTGCAGCTATTCTCAGACAAGACTTTTCCTTATGCACTCACAGCTGGCCACCCAGAAACTCAGACGATATAGAAACAGCAGATAGATACCCATAATACATTGAAAGCAGACAAACAAAGAAGGGGACTCAAATAGATCCATAGGATTGTTTTTCTCTTCCAAACACTGCTTATAATCTCTGATTACTGCAGTGAAATATCAGCTGTACCTGAGTGAATAATTCTGTTTAAATAATATTTATATAGAGCTTCCTCAAACAAGCAATACTATAAAAGTATCTATTGGACCTAAAGGAGAATTCTACACAATTTCTGTTATGAATTTTAGCGCTGATTCAGAAGCAGTTTGTAAGAAAAATGTTTTTCATACATGTATTTTCCCTTCACTTTTATTTATTTAACTACATATATCATCCTGCTTATATTATGTGGGTTTTTAAAAAATCACATGGCTGTGTGATGAGGATGGTGGAGATAAACAGGGTGACAGAGAGATGGGAAGTGTGGACTGTTTCATGTATAAAAAAACCCATTCAATAAAGCATTAATACTGGGACATAACACAAAAAGAGAGAAACTCTGTATGCATTCTTGGGAAACCTGGCATTCACTTAATGAACTGCAGGTGCTTTTAGCATCAGCCCTGCTCTCTCCATAAAAGGAAATGCACACATACGAACACATGCAAATTAAGAAAGAGTCAGCATGTGAATCCCGCCCATACCTGCTCCCAGCTGATTTCCTTTGTCTCCTGTATAGTGGTTAAATGGAAAGCAGGAAGGAAAGTAGAAAGGAACCATTAAGACAAGTTTTAAATGTACTTTATTCACAAACACACATCACGGTAGCTCAAAGCTAATGGAAACATCCCCATTGTGGTAAACAATTTCTAGTTGGTCTTAAATAAATCTACACATGGAAAGAGACGATGGAGTCTGGAAGTTGAATGGATCCCATTACATTAACCAAGGGGCCCAACTGGGCCCATGCAAAAAAAACAACAACGTGTTCCTGTTAAGAAGAAGCATAGCATTGCAGGGAGAGAATTGGGCTACAGTCTTTCTTCCTACCCTCTTCCAATAAAAATGGCCTTCTACAATGTGAACCAGAATAATCCAATCTACTTGTTCATTCTGCTGCATCTGGAGATCTGGTCTCAAGTTAAACAGAAGCAATTTGGAGCATCCCCAAGGAAATCAAGATTAAAGGAGACAATCAAATGAGCTCAGGAAAGACTACTGTACTCTGTCAACAAATTACTTGTGTTGCCATTCCTGTTTTCAGGTAGTAGACCATGCACATCATTTCAGATGGTTTCAAATTGTTTCGCTCAATGATAGTTTCTAGATCTGGCAACCCGTGCAGATCCCACAGTCCCACTGCTGTTTTGAATGTACTTCCCATGGTGACATAGAAGGATAGGAGATGAACTCAGCATAGGGCACTAGTCAGGGACAGCACTGGTCAGGAAAGTCTGGCCTACATTGGATCAACATTTATTACTAGTCCTTCCAAATAGAAGGAAACTAAAATGATTTCATCAAGTGCTATCCATAAGCATGGATTTCCTGCCAAATCAACAGGACGAAAACAATCAACTTGGGCAGGAAAACTGCTAAGAAGATAGCTCCAAAGGTAGTGCCATCTGATCTTCTAAGCATGCATACATACAAAATCACACCCAGGAAATTGCAATGTAAGATCCTGGAAACAGCCACAACATAGAGCCCAACAGGGAAGGCAGCTGATTTGAGGGATGGTACCCAGAACAGCAACACTTACTGGCTTTGTTGTGGCTGTGAGAGATTCCATCTCTTCATGCGTCATCCACACATTTCCAGTAGACTAGCAAGAATAGCAGAGGGGAAAAAAGAGAGGAGAGGAGCAGGGGTGAATCTTAACAAATGGAGAAAGCAGAAGGCTGTCAGCTTCCCTGTTGGCCAACAGAAGGCCCAGCAGAGAGCAGCATGATAGAAAGCCCGTCTCTTACCGTACGCGAAGTAGCAGGGGCTGAGGGACTGGTCAGGGAAACCATCTCCTGAATGGCAAGGCGCAACTTAAGCCGGTGCAAAGGATTACTGATGCCGATTTCTCGCTGGATTTCTGTGTCAGACAGGTTGGCCATAATGGCACCACTCTTGACATTGGCACGGCAAGCAGCCACATACCAGGCTGGCATGCCCACCCACAGCTGCCAGAGTAAACGGGGAGAGAGGTTAAGTAGATGTTATGCTTATGCAGCTCCGAGGGGAATAAAGTCCCTAACCCATGGATCTCATCTGGCCCTGGTTGGAATTCCCCATGAAATTACTGTTGGTTCTTGGATGAGCAAAGGTTTCCCTTTAATCCACCAGCAACAGTTGGGATTTAATGTTCCCTGCTGGTGCTGGGGTGGGAAGGAGTTCACAGCTCCATGTTCCATGGATTCTTTAGCCATGATGGGATGCTGCCATGCGATGGAAAGCAATCTCTTTCTGTGAAACTTGCACATGCTTCAAAAAGTATTTGGAAAAAGTGCACCAGCAGGGAACCTCCACTCTATTAAAGCAACCATAAGTTTTTTTTAGACTCATGTAGAAGCATGAAAAAATGCAGGCTGCTGTGAGGACTAGAAAAAAGAGGAAAGAGGAATCCCAAGGGTCAATTCATTGGATTTCAATTCAATCCAGCATTGTGCCTGCCTTTCTCCCTTGTTACTTTATGAACAGTGGAGAGGTGCTGTGCTCACACAAGGTGCACAGTCAATTCTCCTTTTTTTGAAATAAAAACAGCTGATTCATGCATCATGTGAAACCAAATTTTTAAAGAACTCTGCTTTTCTAGGGAAAGCACAATTGGTCCCGTTTGGCTTCTGCCAGGGGAAGCAGCTAAACAGATCACGGATGCACCTTCCACTATTCGTGGAACTTCTCTTATGAACTAGGGGGTTCTAATGCCATTGAATGATTTGATCTTGGCTTTCAAACCTTGGCTTGCTCGGAATGGTCTGATCAGGGAACCCCATTTACATATCACGCTAAACAAACCACAAAAGGAACTTCTGTAATTTGCTCACGATACTGGCTTAGTGTGATTGTGAAGCTAGTAACCACCTTAACAGAACCTGAATTTTCATCCACGCTGATTACCTCCAACCACGAGACAACAGTAGGTCCATCCCAGGCAGCAAAAGGCAACCCTTGTCGACAAGCTTCTTCCAACAGCTCATGCCTGGGCACAGAAAAGACAGAAACAGAGAGAATTGGGGGAAAAGAAATAACTTCTGAAAATCCAAATATTGTTTTTCGTTCTGATCCTCAATTTTCCTCATCTGCATATCAACCATTTCAACATTCAATATTATAATTCTAGAGACAGTACTATTATTCCCATTTTGCAAGCAACAAAGTTGAGGCTGCTCAAAGTGCAAAACTCCTTCCTCCAGGTCCCACCCAGTGACTTCATGAGCCCAGCTGGGTTTGGTCTTGCAGGTGCAAATCAATGGAAGCTCTATTAATCCTCCTCTTCATCCCCTTCTTACTTCTTTTTGTTCCTACGATCCTTGTCCACAGGTCCTGAGAGTTTAGAAAGGCCCAGGGGGTCCGCAGGTGACATCTCATCAGATGGTGTCCCAGCTGTCAAGAAAGATGGGCAAATTACACAGGGAGAAAGAGAAACACATCATGGCCTCCATTAACTGCCTTAATTTTCAGGAGAGAATTCCTATGCAGCTACTTCTCCATGTGGTGAAAATCACAGACAGGAGATAGCAGAGATGAATCTTTGGGGAGCACCCATTTGCTCATTCAAATAAGATTAGTCCAACCAGAAATTCACATAGATAAGGGGAGGGAGGGCAGGATTTTCAAGAAAAGCAAGACTTTTTTTCTAATTGTTAGTGTTTGCTTGCCAAGAGACAGAAAAGCCAGGTTATTAGTAGCCTTCCTGAACTTGATGTGCTCCAGATGTGCTAGATTACAATTCCAAGCAGACCCCTTGGTCACAGCGATATAGGGCAGAATTTCATTGACAGGGAAGGACTGGGGCTTGCTCTGGTGGGAGAAAAAAAAATCAAACTGAGGCTGTGGGTGGGGAAAGCATACCAAGTGAGGGGGACTCACGGCCCAACTGCCCCAGCCTCCCTTTCTCTTTCTTGCCAAAGAGACGCCCGATGGAAGATTTGATGCTTTTCTTCTTGGTGGACTTGTGTAAGGAATCCTGGCTGCTATTTGTGCCATCTGCCCCCAGGCTGTGACAAAGGAAAGAAGTACTGTATGGATGGCATAAGAAAAAGGATTTAAGAAAAAACAACTATTTTTCCCCACACTGAAATTGTTTCCATACCTATTGGGTTGGGTTGGTGCAACATAAAAGTAAACTAGAGTTTGAGAGTAGGTAGTTTAGTGTGCAGACCCAACCACTGTCTTAGTATATAAAGTGACTCAAACTATCACATTACACCATAACCAGGTTTATTTGTTTGGGCATAGCATGGTATATAAACTCAGGATAAAACCTGCATTTAAGTGTCTTGAGTGACCTCAGACCTTAAAGCTCTACTTTACCTTTGTATCCCACAACCTTTCACTCAAAACTGCACCCTATGGCCTCCTTTTCTCTAGCAGCTAATGCTTTCTTCAAAACAGATATTTTCCTGAAGTCCTCAGCACAACTTCAGCCAGAGAACGCACTACAGTCCCAGAATGGGCTGCCTGGAATCTGCTACCAGGGAGGTCCACAATAGGTCAACCAGAGTTTTCCAACTCCCAGCCTTTAAAAAAATAACTAAACACTTTGTTTTGAAAGAACAGCCCAAATTAGGCAGCTGAAACCAAGAAAAATACATACATAGGTATGCATTATGTATGTACGTTCATTCATTTGTTCATTCATTCATTCAGTGTGCAGTTTTTATAGGCCATTCCAATTCAAAAGTTCTGTGCAGAGTTCAGCAGAATATACATGGGCAGGAGAAAACCAGAAATAGATTTTCATGTGAAATGACTGAGTTTGATTCTGACCTGAGCATTATTCCTGATCATTAACTGATAGTCTGCTATGCCACTATATACTGTAACTTACTTTGGTAGCGCTTTGCAATTCTAGTAAAACAATAGTTTTGAGTCTAGAAGTTGGAATTGGACACCTTGTTCTTAAGTGATTAAGCCCAACTACGCACAATTAAAATAAATTCATGTGTCCAGGTTGTGGAACTCAGCTGTGGACCTCTTTGAGGTAGGAATTCTGACTGGCCTGTTTGTTCCTTCCTGCCACATTCTTAAAACATAAAATGTCACCCCCACCCCCTGCACTTCAAGCTCTACCTCAGTCCTCCAATCTCTCCACTCACGACTCACTGGCTGTCTTATTGCCTTGCTCCCTCCTTGCAACTTACCTGGTTCTCAGGTCCCTCCCATCCTCCAGTGCTCCAGCCTGTAGAGCTAATGCTTGGGTCATACGCTCAAGACGCATTGTGCGGGGGGTTGAGGGTGTTGGGGGCTCACATAATGCTAAGGCCTTCTCCTCAGAGCCTCGCACCTCTTCCTTGGCAACATGGTTCTGCTGGGAGGAGAAAATGGTACAAAAAAGATCTATTTGTCACTGTTGTCAGGTGGGGAAGAAGGATGCAGCTCCCTGGGAGTCTCTCAAGTTGCATATGCTGTTGTTGGAATGAATGTCACAAACTCGTGGGACTAAAATCAGGGATCTAGTTGAGCAACACAGTATCTCATCCTTAGATCTCCTTCTGAATGGCAGCAACCCTGCAGGGTTTTGATTCCTTGTTTAACTACCTCAACAAAAACTAAAACTGTTCTAAAACTGGCTGCTGAAGTTTATGAGAAAATCAGGATTTACAATGAGAGGACCAGAAGCTTAATTCTGCAATTAGATCATTTTATGGACTGAGGATGTGTTGAGGGGGACCCTATTCTTTAATTCTAAGTCCTATATCAAAACCCTTATTAATTTAGGAAGCATGAATTTAGCCAACCCTGGGCTATATTAGATCTAAAGGTAATTTAGTTCAACTAACTGATCATAAATTAGATATCTGTTTTATATACCTCTCTCCCATGTTCTTCAGATTATTGCAATAATAATGTGACAATAAGCTCCTGACACACTTGCATGAGAAGTAACTGAACAATTAAAGAAAGATTTTGATTTAAACAAGCTGACATTTGCCCACAAGAGGAGAAGACTGAGCAAAGCAAGCCAAGGGCCTACTTAATCCCTACTGTTTTTAATAGTGACTACTTTAGATGTCAGCTGAACTTTTATTGTTGCCTCCAGATTGAAGATTTGGGACCCTTGAAAATGGGGATTTATTCCCTGACACTTTTACAGGTAGTCCTCAATTTACGACCACAATTGGGACTGGAACTTCTTTTGCTAAGCGATGCAGTTGTTAAGTGAGTCGCACCTGATTTTATGACTTTTTTGCCATGGTCATTAAGTGAATCACCATGTCGTTAAGTGAATCACATGGTTGTTAGGCAAATCCCGCTTCCCCCACTGATTTTGTTTGTTAGAAGCCCCCTGGGAAGGTTGCAAATGACGATCATGTAACCCTGGGATGCTTACGCAATTGTTGTAAATACATGCCAGTTGCCAAGCACCTGAATTTTGATCATGTGACTGTGGGGATGCTATGATGGTTGTAAGTGCAAGGACCAGTTGTAAGTCACTTTTTTCAGCGCCATCGTAACTTTGAACTGTCGTTAAACAAATAGTCATAAATCAAGGACTACCTGTAGTTAAATGATAGGATCAGGAAAGATCTCTGTGCCCTTGAAGAACTGGGATTAGGCTGTATAATCCCAAGTGGACAACCTGTGACCTGGGGACTACATGCAGCCTGTGAAAATAAAATATGTGCATTCTGGAGATACAGGGAGTCCTGCCCATTTCTCTACTGGACAGCTGATGAACAAGAGCAAGGAGCCACCAGAAATAAACTGGTATTTTCTGGTGTCAATACTGATAAACCTATTAGCTCCATCAGAAGCTGATCAGCCAGCTGCTGGGGGATAGGTCACTGCCTTCTTACTGCTACTGATCTGCAGTGGGTTGTGAAGAGGAAGAGGGATGTGGGGCGGGTAAATTATTTGGTATGTGAGTGAAAGTGTGGATGTGCATCTACACGTGCAGGAATGCATATGCATGAGTGGTCCCAATCCCTGGCCCAACATTCTGTGCAGCTCTATGGCTTAAACACCTTCATTCAGAGTTCAAGGAGGCATACATAATACCCCCTCATCCCTTTTTTCCACCCAACAACGTCCCTGTGAAATAAGTGGATAGAGAAAGAGTGACTTTGGGACTACATGGCTGAAAATGGAACCTGGGTTTTTACAGCCCTTAGCTGAACATCTTAACCATTACATCCCTTTGGTGATTAGCATCAATATTTCTGCAATGGAACCTTCCAAGAGATTTTTGATGGTATCTGTTCAGAGTTTTGGGTGAGGGGCACGCACACAGTCCATGTTCCTGCCCAGTCCCATTTACAATGTACCATTTTTTCTCCATCACGAGCAGGACTGTGGGGTGCCAAGCGGGGTGTAGAATGGCCACTGCTGGGGGGAGAAGGGCTGGCAAGAGTTGAACTGGTGACAGACGGAGGAATGGAAGTGCCTGAACGGTAGCGGCCCAAGGATCCGTCCAGGCTAGCACTGGTCACTCGGCTCTCAATCTCCTCTGCTCGCTGTTCTGTGGATTCTTTTTCCTCCTGGATCAGTCTTGTATAGCCAGCAATGAAAAAATATGAGAAGGTTGCAGATAATCAAGGCAATGTGTTCTACCTTCTCTTCTATAAATTACACAAGCAGTATAATCTACAAGCAAGGCATGAAATTAAATGGAATTACTGTGCTTCATTTAGGTGATGAACGTAGCCCATAAGCCACTGGTTATTTACCCTGTTTATGTAGAACAACATATGAAATAATTGTAAATAATAATTGTAAATTTTATTTATACACACACACACACACGTGTATATATATATATATGTGTATATATGTGTGTGTGTGTGTGTGTGTGTGTATAAATAAAATAAATAAGAGAACAATTTATTTAGTTTACTGGAACCAGGCTACTCTAACTGCATTTTCACCAAAGCTGAACTCCTAGATCCACAGGGGGCTGTCAAAAAAGTCAAAATGGAAGTCATTTCCAGACCATCAAAGCCCCACATATGTCAAGACTGCCATCTTGACTTTTTTGATAGACACTCCCCCGCAGACACCAAAATCAAATTAAGCACCCTTAGGTCCCACTGAAATCATATAGAATATTATTCATATTATTTAAATGCATGAATTTAAATGGATCTAAGTGTGGTTAATGTAGTCTGGATCAAATTTCTCTACATCTACAGATAAAAAGGGCGCATTCCATTGTCTGTATGTTGCATATTCTCCATCAATTTAAAGAAAATTTTGTTTGTCCACATGTTTAGCTATCCATAAATAGAAGCTCACTTTTTATGAAGATAGAGACAAGAAAGAAAAGCAGCAAGTGTCTGGTCTCAGCACATTATAGGTTTCGACACATAAAATATTCCTAACAAGAATTTAATCGCAACATTTCACACAAACACCCAAATTTCGCCTTGAGCCTTAGGGAGTTTGCTGTCAACTTCCCATGTCCATGAAGACTGGAAAGTTTTTTTTAAAATATATAAATATTGAAACATGATAGAATAAAATGTCTACAACTTTTAGACCGCAAATAGACAGACTTATGTGGTAAAGAAAGCATGTGTCATGGGCAGAGGAGAAAATATTGCCTAATCTATGTATGCAGTAAGAATAGGCGGCAGAATAGACTGTATGCTATAGACCAGTGTTTCTCAACCTCAGCAACCTTAAGATGTGTGGACTTCAACTCCCAGAATCCCCCCAGCTGTTTCGCTGTAACGACAACTTCTACAGACTATATATAAGGGATATTGCTTTTGATATTCCTCTAGCATAGCAAAGAGGGGGTTAGATAGAAAGAGACCCTTCCTTTGGTTGTAAGGTAGTGTGCTTGCTATCCTATCACCAAAGGAAAACAGATCATTTAGAAGCATGAGACTTGGTCTGTTCGGGGACCAAATCCAGAGACATATCTCTCATATAAAGATTTCCTAGATTGGGGATTGGGGCATGTGCTGAAAACACTGGACATAACACTTAGGGAAAGCCTTCAAACTCTGAAATAGTTTCAGGAGAAAACGTAGAGCACAAAAACACCTGTGTCAAGCAGGCAGGAAGAGAGAGCTATAACTCAAGAAAACAGTTGCACGTGCGTGCTGCTCTATATCTGGCCAGGACAACTCACTTGATCTCTTTGTTGATGGCTTCCAGCTGCTCTTGTAGCATGATGGCCAAGGTCTGCACATCAGCCTGTCCACTGGGAGACAGCAGGTCAGCTGAGCTGAACAGAGGATCGCGCTCATCCTCATCTGATCCATCCAGCCCACCCTCAAACGAGCCTCCAGCTGCCTGCTGAGCCCGTTCCCACTCCTGAGATGGAAGAAACACCTGCAAGGAAGAAAAAGACCGTAAAAGAAAGTGTATTCCAGCAGTCCCGCCTTTCTTGGTTAGTTATTAGAAAGCAGGAGTCACAAGGCACCCACCAGAGGCAAGATGTCCAGTGCATCTTAAAATGGCACTGAAGTCCCCCCACCCCACCCCAAAATTAAAAATCACATTTCACGAGATCACCAGATGAAGCTGTGGAATTCCATTCTAAACTGCTCTTAGAACATGATCTTGAACACTGAACCATAATCGTCCTTATGTTATTCCATATCCTGTACTACAGGAATACAGAGGAGTGATTTTGACCTTACTTATGACCCATTTTCATGTACTTGAAAAATGCCATCATAGTCCTGCATGCCATCTTTTCTCATTCCCTTATTTCTCTCCTTAGAAGGCGTCTCTGGATCTTTCTTAAAATGTTGTGCCCAGAACTACATGCAGTATTTGAGATTGGATCTGACCGATGCAGATTGTAGGGGAACTATTATTTCCTGTGATTTAAAATGTAAACTTTATTGATGCAGTCCAAAATTGCCTTTTCCTTTTTTGGCAGTGGTGTCACACTGCTGACTCACATTCAGCTTGTGATCACTTACAACTCTAAGAAGTTCCTCACCTGTACATTTCATTCCAATTTCTATCCCTTTGTGCATTTGGTTTCTTTTTCCTAAGTGGAGAACTTTGCATTTGTCTCTAAACTTCCATTCTATTTTATTTTTCAGCCCATCTTTCTAACCTACAAAGAGCATTTTGAATTCGGCTTCTGTTTTCTAGCCTGCACCCTATTTCATACCCTTTTGCATCATCTGCTAATGATGATGTATAATTCTAGTACAAGAACTTGTGAAATTTAGCAATATCACAAGAGCTTAGACCAGTGTTTCTCAACCTTGTCAACTTTAAGATGTGTGGACTTCAACTCCCTGAACTCCCCAGCCATGCATCTTAAAGTTGACAAGGTTAAGAAACATGGCTTAGACATTTTGGAAAAAAAAATGAATTCAGAAGGAGGGATATCTGGAGACTGAAAAGGTTGATGATTCCTACTACACAGATACGGGAAATGCCCATAAGGGCTGCCCAGTTTCAGCCGGTAGCAGCAGGCCCATAAGAGACGTGATTATCCTCTCCCCAATTGCTAGTACTGTCCTGCTGTAACAACCACTCATTCCTCAAAAGTGACATCAGAAGATACTTACCAGGTGTGTGTCCAGTGGCAAGTGGAGCACAGTACAAAGGGAAAAAAAGGAAGAGAAACAAAAATAACAATGAGGACAACATGGAAGATGGAAAGCAAAAGATTACAATCACTGCTATGCTCTATGCACCCTGCCATCTAAAAGCAACATCTACCTACTTAGACTTGGCACTGTCTTCTCTAGGTGTGCTACCTATTCTATGGAACCAAAATCTTTGTCTAGTTCTACATATCAGTGCCTATCACTGAACCATGCAAAGTTCGCTCATGATTACAGCATTTTTTCTTTTCAGTGCCCTCTGCTTCGTTTCCCTGTCTTAATAGTTTTAATGATTGCTTTTTCAGTTTAGTATATCTCCCCAACATCATCACTGCCCCATAAATCAGCTGTTATTGGCAATTAGGTATTCTCTACTTAGCCAAGCGATATGCAACCCCTAATCAATATTCCCTTACATATGAAGGGTTTGACATTCTGCAGGAAAATATAAAAACAAATACCCTGTTTGTATAATTATGGGTTATGGGAGATTGGATACCTATATTTATTTCAGTTTAATTACACAGGGAAAAAATAAATATCTAATTCCAGGGTACGATATGCAGACACAGCAATACAGAATATGCCCATACCATGCAGTGTGTTGTCTGATTGATTCCTAGCTAGAAAGAGCGCCTGGGAACACCCAAATACATCATTTTTTTACCTCCACGATGGAACAAAAGCAATATTAAATGTTCCAAAAGTATAAGCAATCTTTATGTGTCTACAATGCAGAAACGACATGCAGGTTCCTGAGTGCCTCCAGTAAGAGCCCTTTCACATTCTTCATCCAACATCCTCCCATATTCCGTTGCAGTGAGTGGACTAGATCTAGATCAGTGTTTCTCAACCTTCGTAACTTTAAGCTGTGTGGCTTAATGGCTGGCTGGGGAATTCTGGGAGTTGAAGTTCACACAGCTCATAGTTGACAAGGTTGAGAAACATAGATCTAGATACTAGTTGCACCAATCTGAATGAAATCAATGACAAATTAGTCATCTCTCAAGTCCCACTGATTTCATCAGGCATTAAGTGCAACTGACAGAATAAGGGTGAGAGGGGAGGGTGAGGCAGATTTAATTCCCAGCCTTGCTGACCCATTGCTTTCCCCATTCCAACACCTTCCACATGCTGCCTGGGGTTTATGGAGGTTTTTGTGCAACATATCTAAAGGACACCTGTTGGGAACATCTGCTTTAGCGTCATGAATTGGCAGAAGGCAACAGGGAGTGCTTGCCAGCCAAGAAATTTGTCTTCCTTGGATTGCTAAGAATTCAAAACTACTGTGACCAAAGCTTCTAAGAAGAAGCATTGTTGAAGTATTCTACAAGGAACTGCAAAATTTGGTTATTTTTATTTTATTAAACAAATACTTGTATTCTGACTTTCTAACATTTACCAGTGAAATGACTTTCTATCATTTACCAGTGAAAGAATTTACTTAAAATCAAAACCGTCAATAAATATAAAAATATAAGATGTTGTCCAACATATGAGTTCTCTTGCAGTATGAGCCACAATTGCCAGCTGTGGTTTTCCAGATCAACTGCCCTGCATCAAGTAAGCTAGTTCTAGAACCTTAAATGCTTCATCTGCAGCTTACGTGTTTTCAGGGGTGGCACAGAAACATCCTTTGCAAAGCACTGTTAGATTACAGGCCAAACAGTATGTCTCTTCTCAGTCCCCACTTGGAATGGTTACTGAAGATCAGGGTATCCCATGGCTAAGTCTTACGGAGGACAATTACTTCATTATATTAGAAGCTTCGCTATGGGATCGGATGAGCTTAGTTTCTACTTCCTTCAGTGTACAGAATAGCTAATGTCCATACTTAGACAAATCATGAGACAAAGCTCATTTGAGAGTAGAAATAAGCTTTCTTTAGTGAAAACCTGATAACAAGGATCCAAGAACGTAAAATAACAAAATAATATATAATATACCAATCAGCAAATTTCTAATACTAAGCGTTAACTTTCAATGTAATTCCAGACTGATACACTGTATGCATAGGTCTTACCCAGAGTATGGTTGGGAGGAGAAGCTGAGAAAGATGTTACATTCTCTGAGTTGGCATCTCACTCTATTGTGTTGTTGTATACATGTGTGTACCTGTGTTCTATATGTATTTTTTGGAGAGTTGACCTCAAAAGTTCCTTGCTAGGTCTGCACCAAGAAATAACAATGGAAAACACCTACTTCAGAAGGCTTTGCCCAAAATGGTTTCAAAGAGCTTAGCTTCTTGGCTTAAGCTGTTAACAAGGATAAGCTTGTTAACCCATGGTCTAATTCAAGATTTGTCTTTAACCATTTGTTATAAGAGGGTTCCACAATAGTTGAATACGTGCTTCTTTCAGCATCCCTTTTCTTAGAAAGCTAGTGATTAGCAGTAGTGATACAACTGTCCTTTACCAGGAGCTCCTGATAGCACTCTCTAGACCCTTTATCTTTTAGATTTTAGGTAACCCTTTACCATATTTCCGCTTTGTTTTTGGTTTTTTTGCATTTATGATGTTAATCTGCTAATCTGCAATATTCTGCTTTTAGTACAACAGCTGGGTTACGGAGTCTTACTACAGCAATTATTTTGTACCACTGACCCATTGTTTGCACTATTCAAGCATTTCATTTTTTTACTGGATTGCTGCCCATAAAAGAAACCCTGCCTCTCATTCTCCTCACATCATCATTGCCAGAGTTTCTCACCTTGGTTCCATTTCACTGACTGCCACTTTGAGGACAGCCATATTCTGAGAATGATGATGTCATATCATGTGTTTGCACTGCTAGAAATTATCATGGAGGCCAAGATGTAAGATCGTTGAGTTTATTGTAAGTTACACGTCATAACATAGAGTTCTAGTGCTAGATATCCTCATGCCCAGCATTCCTCAATCTGCTGAATACCAGATGTGTTGGAACAACTACTCTCAGATTTTCCAGCAAATGCAGTGGCTGGGAATTTAGATAACGTAGTCCCTTCACATTTGCAGGAAATCAGGCTGTGGAAGACTGTTCTGAGTAAACATCAAACACCTTGCTAATACCATTTCAGAACTCCCTTTCATTTTGGTTCAGTTTTTTTTTTCCCATGAACTTGTCAATTGTCAACACAGCAATTCCATACCTTGGTGGCCTCGTCCTTGACAGTCCAGCGCCCCTTCTTTGAACGTCTTGCCACACCAGCACTGCTGTAATGGTCCACGTGGGCCCCTACCGGCAGCATGGGTGCTTGGGAGTAACGCAACTCCAGCACGCTGCCCGGCAGAGACCTCCGTGGAACAGGGAAAAAGAACTGTGAGCAAGAATGATCAGAGAGGAAGAAGAAGAGGGTCTTTTCCATTCAGGTTCAAGGGCCCCCCTTTTACCAAATCATCAGCCCCTTTTCTATTAATGGTCCCAACCCTGAAAGATTCTTCCCACCTTTTAAGAATTTGGGAATGTTGTAATCCTGGCATAAAAGGCCATCAAAATATGGATATGAGAAGAACTTTAAAAGAGTAAGACCAACATGATACTATAAAAGGCATGTTCTAGATATAGAACACCTTTCCTAGCTTTAACTAAAAATAATAATAAAATAGTTGGCTGGATTCACAACACTGAAGACTAGTCTAGAATGGGCTGGGAATCAGTGATTCAGCATGTTGTGGGATCCCAGCCATTATCTAGCAAGGTTTGAGAACTTGGCAATTGGAAATGAACACTACTTGGTTTCTGAGAGCATGAAGCCCCCTTACCGAGAATAGGTAGAGACTGGGCGTCCACGCAGTTGGTCTATCTCCATTTGCATCCTCTCAATCTCAGCCAATAGCTGCTCCTGCAGGACATGGCCAAAGAAGGTGATCAGTTCTGAAAAGCAACCTAGCTGATCTCAAAGACTCCATCATACCCTTTAAATATTTCTGGAAACTTTCCTCATTCTAACCCTTAACCCACTCCATACTTCCCCAAATTCAAGATGTTTTTCTCCAGTTTTGGACTTAGAGATTCTCCTCACACATACACACCCTGCCCAATTCTCAACTGCCATTTGCCTCACCTTGTTTGCCAGGAGTTCATCCTGGACCTTCTTCATGTTGGCAATTTCTTCACTTAGCGTATTCTTGATGGGGGTAAAATGAGAGAAAGAGAAGAATTTAATGAGAACAAGAACACTATGACAAGCCTCTGACAAGCTACTCATCATACTCTTCCTCTCTACAGACTCCGTATCTTTCCTCTACTCCTAAATAGAGAGCCAACTTGCATTAGAGAGCAGGTGAGGAAATGAAAGATAATCCTGGAATTCTCCTACTCATGTGTTTGCTTTATGAACACTTCTAACTCTTCTCCTGTTACAAACCCACACACACCAACCAAAGCCCCATCTAACATTACAACTCTCAACTGACAGCCAAAGGCCTAAGCAGCCTCAGTTGCTGGCTCTCAAAATGTTCTGGCTCTTCTTTTATCTGGATGGTCACTCCCTTTAGCAGCTAGAATAATGGCTATCATCTTTATGACAAAACAAAACAACAATGGTCACTATGAGATTTTGTTTTGTTTTGTTTTTTGCAGTGGTTACTATGCTTTTACCCATAATGCCCTAGATTCAAAGCATCCAGTACACTGCATTTTGGAAAAATAAAGAGTGTGATTACAATCTTGTGTTTCAAGGTATGACATTCCTGGGCTCTGGCAGTTCCTTCAGTTGGATTCTCACCCAGCTGACCTACAGATACAGGATAGCTGATTCACATTGGTTCTCATACCAAACCCAGTTCACGCCTACAGAGACATGTACCTTCTCCTCCAGTGCCCCCATTCTTTCCTTCAGGTGCAACTGGAGACGTTCATTGGATTCAGATAGTAGCTTATCTACTGTTTCTGAGAGGCGCTTGTTGTGTTCATCATTCATTTTCTCCCTTTGGCGTGCCTATTTTTCCCAGAGAGAGAGCAAAAGTAGCCAGGATTACCTGGAAGTCATTCCTCCACGCTAGTGACTTACCCCAACGAATCCAGCTTCATCACACCTAGGATCCCTCTTTTCCACAGGCATTTCCATTGTGCTTTAATGTCTTTGTAACATTCCCCATGCATGTGAAATAGGAGCATCAGAAGCTGTCTTGTACCAAGTCAGACCATTGGTCCATCTAGCATGCTACTGTCAGTACTGACTGGGAACAGCTCTCCAGAGATTTGGAGAAGTTTCCATCGTTTCCAGTCATACATGGGATTGAACCTGGAACTTTTTTCATGCAAGGCATGTACTGCACCACAGAGCTACAGCTCATCAGCAATGGCCTGGCACCTCTGGTACCCATCAAATTCCACCCAGTTTTTCACTCATGCCCTCACCCTCTGGAGCTCCTGATTTTTCTCTTCCAGCTGGGCCTCAAGTTGACGCAAACGCTCCTCAAAATTGCCATGCCTCTCCTCTGCCTAGAAAAAGACGCGAATGAGAGAATTAAGCCATGCTTTCTTTTTCTTAGAACTTGGAATCCTCCCATTTCTCCCATTTTCTTTCTTTCTCTGACACCACTAGAGAAAGACATCAGTGTTTCGTTGGCCATTCCCTCCTTACATCTCTTGATGACATGTTCAATGTCTTCCCTCTTTTGCCCAGTACCTTGTTAAGGGCAGCTACTCGCTGGGCCAACTGGGCCTCTATCTCAGGTAAAGTCTCAGCCTTCTGCAGAGTTTGCTGAAGTTTCTGCTTGGCATCCTCTAGCCAGTCTTGTAGCTGCCTGTTTTTTTCTTCACTCTGCATAGGAGAAACAACTACTTTGGAGAGGTTGTTGTTGAAACAAAGCCCTGCAAGATGAGCCATCATATAAGTAACTGAGTATTACCCACTAGGAGTATGCATGGAAAGGCAGGGGGAAGAACGGGCAACTTCCAACTTATCCATAGCTTGTGCAGAATGTGAATATTAAGGACAACCAGACATTAGCAGGGAGATATTGGGGTGAAGGAAATAAATAGAACAAATGAAAAGGCAAAAGTAGGAACTCACTTGTCTGTAGAGGGATTCCTTACTGGCCAACTCATTCTCCAGCTTGTCATTGACATCATGAAGGGACGTTGCCTCCCGCTGAGCACTCAGGTAGCGTTTTTCTAGTGTGGTAATTCGTTCCTCCATGTCTTCTCGCTGAGCTAATGCCTATTACCCACACCACATGAGAGAAGGAAAGGATGAAAAAATGGCAGGGGGTGGATAGAGCCATCCTCTCTCCCATTCTCTTAAAACACAAGAAATGTCTGCCCAGATCCTTCAGTTACTAGTTATGGGTGAAAATAAGATTCTCTGTGACTTATGCATTATACCACTTTTAAGTTAATTTGCCCATTACATGCAAAAACTATACATTTCAGGATAGGAAGCCACTTGGTGTAATGACACTGTTTGTTCAGCAGATGGGAAAAAATGAGTTCAATTCAGTTTATGAAAATGAGTTCACAGTTCCACACCAAATACAACTGTCAGCCCATCTCTTGATCATTTGTACTGTTCTTTCTCTGCATGTTCTAAAACTCCCAATGATTCCATATTCCACATATGGATGCACATAGCTTCATACATTAACCTTACATTATTTGCTGTTATAACACCAATCTCTTCTGAAAAAGTCCCAGTACTATATTCCATTTTCACAACCCATTACTGCTGTGGGAATCCACCTATCGAGTTGTTTTTCTGAAAAATTCTCTCCAAATGATTCCCATCCTCTGAAGTTCATAAGCTGAGACATTTGAGTAATGATTTATCACAGACTTGTCCATTTTGGTGCCCTCCTGACATGTTTAGACTGCAATTCCCAAAGTTCCCAGTCTTTTGGTCATGTTAACTGGGAAGGTGCACTTTCACCATACCCAGAAGGGGTCAGATTAAAGAAGGCTGAATTACTTGATCTAGATAAGAGGCAGCCTGTCGTAAAGTAGGCAGGTGGAACACCAAGCATTGCCTTTTACCTCCTTGAGGTCCCTTTGTAGCTTGGCATTAATCTCTTCAGATTTAATAAGATCTCGTTGGGCTGTGGCTAACTCTTCCTCCAGCTCTGCCATCTGCCGACAGAGCATGGTAAGTCTTTCTTTCAGCTGGGACAGCTCTCCTCTCTGGCGCTCCAAAACCTCCTCTAGCTCAGATTCCCGACCCCCACGCCCCAACTCAAGGGCCCCAGATCCATTGGCCTAAAGAATAAAGAAAGTAAAAAGAGATCCATGTATTACAAATTAATCCTGCTTATGATACGTACATCAGGTCTCCATCCTCCCCCCATTCCCCATGTTCACCACCTAAGTGAGGCCTACAAATCAGTCATAAGGATCATGCTTTGCATGCAAAAACTCCTAGCTTAAATTAGTGACATTTCTGTGGGGTGGGAGGCAGAGGGATATTTTAAAAAAAATCTTACTTATAGGGCTAGATCAGTGTCTGCAGAGACAACACTGGCACATGATTTACAAACGGTCTGACTCACATGTCAAATTCACATCTTATCATCTCTTTTTGACTTTCCCACATGACATACGCTAAAAAAACAAGGAGTCAGATGCCCCAAAGCCATGGGTAATCCCCAAGTTTTTTTTGCAGTTCCTGGAGCCCTCATGAATCACTATTAGTGAAACATGATGGCAGGAGGAAGCAAAACAGGATAAAGGACAAGAAAGAACTTAAATAGGAAAATGTCTGGAGCAATTAGGGCCATTCAGAAAACAAAATACCTCACAATTGCTATGGAAGAAGCTTCCACAACCCAATAAAAAATTAAAAATGTCTCCATAGAAGGGCACAGTGAACATGGGTGCTTGATCTAAGCAACTTTTTAAAGTATCTCTCTCTATTTTCTTCCCCCCTTTTCTGCTTCCCCTCAAATTTGCCTTCCAGAGCCACTTACACATATCTGGGCATCTCCTTCTTTGCTGGGATCATCTAGGCCGGATCGGCGTCGAGCAAGCTGTTCTCGAAGAGAAAGAGACTGCAAACAGGAAGGAGGTAACAACATTTTTAAAAACAAGATACGTGTAATTGCTTACAATTAATTTTAATGAATGAGAAGTAGGTGGTAACCAGAACAGCCCTTTCAGCAGCAGTGAAGAATCTTTTTAATACGGAGAATATATTGCCAATATTATGTACTGGTTACTATGCTCCAGCATAAAACATTATGTCCACACTGTTTCACTATCATGAATTTTCATCCACATGCTGAGACTGCATTCATCCATAGCACTATCTCAAGATTTTCTGTAATCATGATTTATTGAACAAGCCAATGTGGCTAGTTCACACAAGGTGTATGGTAACCTACAAACCAGGGTTATAGTCTGTAATTAGTTGAGTCTGGAAGTAAAGTGACTATTATCTGGATGACAAAGAAAGACCCAAACTAAGTAACAATGAAATTTGCAAGCTTGGGAAAAGGGATCAGTAGACATCACCAGGCATACTGCATGCTTAACCATTAGTTCAAGGAAGAGTCAGGTATATGTGTGGTCATTATGTCCTGGCTTGCAATTCATTCATTCATGCATGCATGCATGCATGCATGCATGCATTCTACTTCCTATGCCAAAATATTTTGAAATAGTTTACAACATTAACCAAAACAAAATACATAATGCATGATAAAACATTGTAAAACAATACACAATAAAAATATAACATTTTCCTTATAAAGGCGATGGGGGGAGGAATATCTTCCTAGTGGACAGAGAGGTGAGTTTGCAAGAGGCATCGAAAGGTGTCACAGTAGGTGCTGCTGGCATTGCAAGGGGGAAAGCATTCCAGAGTGCAGGCACCATCATAGAAAAAGCCCACCCATCAGTACTATTATTTCCAGCCCATCCCACTCGGTCCAGCAGAAGGGGCAGGTTGCAGACCCCACCAGTCAAGGATTTCGATTGGTGGGGTCTAGGGCAGAGGGGCCCTT